TTTTTTTAGACAGGGAATTTCATGAGTAGTTGTGTAATTTTTATGAATAGAAATGTGCAGAAATGCATTTGCAGAAATAAGGATCTCTTTCCGTGGAAGTTGGCGATATATTCATAGCTTTTCATTATTCATTATTCTATTGTTACTCACGTTCTTTAATGGTATTTGCGATTTCATTTTCATTTGGAATTAATCCAATTGAATTTAAATTTCTTCTTTTTTTTTTTTTTCCTTTTTTTCAATTAATCATCGAATATCATTAATGTGATAATTTTCAGTGATATTATTTATCTTCGATATCCTACACTATTCTGATGTGTACGGTTATAATTAAATCGTTAAATACCATTTTAATTTGGAATATTAAGCTTGAATTTAATTATACAGAATAAATTAATAAGCTTCGATTATTTTTTGAAAGGATCAACGATTTGATCAAACGAATAAATAAAGATCGTGGAAAGATTTTTTTAATTTCGAAGGCAAATTGATTATAAATATGTCGATCGATATATTACGATTTTCTAAAAGAAAAATTAAAGAGAAAGGAGGATATTTTATAAAGGTATTTATGTGCATAATGTAATATGCTCGACAGAAAATGATAAATTAATATTTATCATTCTTTCCTGCATATTTCGTTAATATTCAATAATTGAAACATTTTGATTCCCCAACAAATGCAATTAATACAATTCTTTATGACACGTTAAAAGATTAATTCCATTTCCTTCTCTTTGCTAAAGTCTTTGAGAAAACTCTTCCTTCTTTTTTATTCATTCGCAACATTTGCATTTGTTGCAATGATTTCTTTATTCCATGCATTCTCCTTTCCTTCGTTTATTTATGAAATAATATCCATATCGCTGGTACAGTGATTCGAGCGATGTAACAGGTGTGAAGAGAGGACATAACACATATAGGATACATTCATTACGTGCTTATCCTCTCTTGTACGGAGAGGATCACCATTTACAAAATCACTTTTCTTTAATCGCTTAAAACGTTAAAAAGTTAACTGTTAACAAGTTTCAACAGATCTTACACATTCTAAAAATAGAATTCTCTCTTACAAAAGATTTTTCATTCAACGATCTCCTCTTAGTCCTACAACGTATCCCATCATAATGCTTTGCCACTTAACCCTTTTTACGAGAAAGGAAACCCTCACGAAAATCATTTTTTGAACTCGCATTTTAAATTCGCGTGTATAATGAATAGAAAGTAAAAAAGGAGAGAAATAAGGAATGGAAGAATTTGTTCTACGAGGAACAAGCCTCCTCGCATGCAACATATATTATTATCATCATATTAAAAATTGATCAATCGTCCCAATCGTCGAGATACCGACCTTATCGAGGAAAAAAAAGTTCTACCTAATGGTAGGACATATTAGGCATCGCATCGGGAACACTGCACCTATTCTCTCGTATCCTCGTTTCCTTCTCGATAATTCTCACTCTCTCAATTATTCCCACTCGAATTCACGTTCGAGAATATGTGTATTATACTCGCGACACGAGAGATCTTTCGAGAGGTGTTTCTTTTATCGCGACATAATCTCCCCCCGTTACACACGAACGGGAATACACGCGGAACGTTTGCTGGTACTCGCGTAACTGACCGAGCCGAGGGGAGAAATTCTCTCTATCCTGATGGCCCGGGCTCCTGGTGGCGGACTTGCGCTCCACGCACCTAAGCGCAACATGTGGTAAACCGTTGAAGGTATACACCTACACACCCACACCTTCCCCCCGCCATGTGCAAACACAAATGTATGCTCGATAAGTACGCGAAGTGACGCGAAACTGTGTGCTGCACGCGCACACACAGCGTGCATACGCACGCGCGTTGATCATTTCCGAATACCGCGCGTATATACCGCGGCCTGTGAAACAGGGTCAAGATTTCAACCGAGGATCAAACACGCTTTTCCCGCACCACGCTCTTCGATCATTATATCTTAATTGGCCTGCTTATTGGGATTCACGTTTGCCACGTTTTCTTGTATATATATATATATATATGTTAATTATCTTTTTATTATTTCCTATAGTTACTTTCTCCCGTGGAGGAAAGATCGTGGATTTCTGTGTGTCGTATTAAATTTTCTAACGAGAAATTATTTAAAATTTTCACTCCCTTTTGGTTTTTGTAACTAGAGGTCATTGTAATCGGATTGATATCGTGGACTTTCGAGGGAAATCTTTTTAAAAAGATTATATTGCGAACGTTAAATCCTCGCCGCTCTTCAAGACGATATACACGGAATCCTCGATGAACTCCATTTAAGAGATGCTTTAAAGATTTCTCGACGCCTTTGAAAACGTTTCGTCCGTTTCAACGAGTTTCTCATTGTGACACAAGTGAGATTCAGAATACCTTTACCTTTTTTTCTTTTTTCTCTCTCTCTTTCTCGTTTAAGATGGCAATGAAAAAACGACTCATTCATTTCTTTGCCCTTTATATTTCGAAAGAGAAAAAGAAAAAACCGAAAAACTGTTATTAAACTCTTTCCAACTTCATCTCGAGCTTATTTTATAAAAGTGATACGACGTATTACACGTCGTGTAGAGATTTTTCTCAATAGATTTCGCGAAAAGATATATATACCGCTTTTGAAAAGGAAATTCATTGTTCCTTTGGAACGTGTGTTGGCAGGGAGGATTTACTCACCCCTTCCAACGTGATATCGGCAATTCTCCCGATATACTCGGAACTTTAATTTTACTTAAATGGCTTCGGTGGAAGGAGAGTGGTCGTTGAACGGTAATTGCGACACGCAATATAAATTTCTCTCGAGAACGTTATTTCTTTTATCAATTTGGATGCTTGTACGCACGAACGTGGGACGCGTGCTATAGCGCGATAAACGTAGATAAATCGATAAGATCGAGAATTGGGGAGAATTACCATCGGTGGCGATTTCGTGCAAATCGTTTCATCCACTTTTCCGCGACTTTTGATGTATGGGTACGTGTTGAATGAAACGTTAACTTGGGTCAGTTTCGCAGTATTGTATAACGTGGCCGTGCCAAAGGGGGTCGATGACTGTATTCGCGTGTTAGCCCATCGTGAACAGGGCATGCAATCTATAAGCGTTTCTGATATAAATCGTTGAGAAAGGGAGAGGAAAAAAGAACTCGTCAACGATTGTTCGATTTTTTGGATTGGTTAATTTAACTGTGTGAACTGTCGATGTATAATAATTTGGTAACAGGACGACATTCACGATTCAAGAGAGAGAGAGAGAGAGCAAATTTTCTTAGATCTTTATAAAGAAAAATAAAATAATCTCATAGATTATTGATTTAATTTTTTGAAAATTTGTAGACTTTGTATCTGATTTTATTCGAACATCTACTTTTATCCATGATTGAAAAATCCATACGTTGAACATTGTTCTGAGATGTTCGGAAGAGAAGGATGATTCAGACAAGTCAGGTGGAATCTTTTGTTTGGACGAAGAACGAGCTTCTTCAAACGTGATGTATGTAAAAATGCCGGCCTATTTTTTTTTTTTCGTCCACGAATCCAGTAGCAACGTCGATGTGTGATATTTTGTAGAAAAGCAGATCGCAGTTAGATGATATCGGCTTTTTCTGATAATTTTTCATTCTCGAAGAGAAAAAATTCAATTCAATTATCTCTAATTGTTCGTGAAATTCTTTCTTGATGAAGAGTCTTCAATCCGATATTTTTCTTTTTTTTAAATATACTGCTATTTCAATCGATTTTAATCCGAGTTATAATATTTCATCGTGTTTTTCTATAATTGTGTTTTTTACATTTTTTTTGAAACACGATTAATAATTTTTATATAAACTACGCGAGATTCAAATCTCTTTTTCCTTTTTTTTTTTTTTTTTTATATCTCAACGAACGCAAATACGAAATTGAAAGGACGAATTTCCTTTTCAACAGTGAGTAATGTAAGATTCACAGTCGCAAAAATTTTCATACACTTTATGCGAATTCAATTAAATTATCAAAACAAATAATTCTATTTTATACGAGAATTTCCTTTTAATCCTGGAATATTATTTCGAAGGAGTAAAATCAATCCTTAAAATTCGTCTTATATATATAAAATATAATTTCATAACAAGACTACAAGATAGATTAAACTATTAAATATTCGATATTTTTAATGCCACTTAAATTTCCAATTTAAATTATATTAATGTGATTGCAGAAAAAACACGAAAAATGATAAAAATTTGATTTCACGAAACTCGAGAAAATTTTATTCGTCGAGAAAAGTAAATTTCTCTGAATAGCGAAGAATTTTCATCGAAATCAAATTGTTCAAGATAATGTAAAATTTTGAAATAGAGTTATTAATACTTTTTTGAAATGGTTATAAATGTGAATGGATATATACTCTCGTGTCGAGAGTAACGAAGATTAGGTAAATATCAGAGAAGTAATGTTATCAGAGAACACGTTGCAAGAAGCGCAGGTATTGATGACAGGTCGAAGAAAAAAAAAAAATAATCGATGAGAAAAAATGTCTGTGTTGCACGAAAATTGTCAGTGTCAGTGGGTTATCCGGGCAGCACAACGTACAGACGGCGCGTGGTCACGAAGCAGGGTCCATATAATCGATACTCCACACTTCGAGTACCTGACTCCGTAGGGAGGGATGGAGAAAAGAAGATGGATTGAGATAAAAAAAAAGAGGCAGGAAAGTTCCAAGAGTGCCATCGCTCCTTTCCCCCCTCCTTTTCTCAAGAACTCTTCTTTCCTCTTCTCCCAGAAACGTCGAAATAATAAAAAGTTCGCAATACTCGTTCGCATAATTCCACTGAATGCGATAATAAAAATTAACGAGACGTCGCCTCTCTCATTTTCTTCAATCCTCATCCCACATCTTTCTTGCAGCTCATATTTCCAAATTAAATTATTTATAATCCAATACTTAACTCGAAACGTTTTATTTTAATTACTCGCATTCAGCATTTTTAATCTAATCTAATCTAATCTAAATATTCTTTCAGGTTTCAACGATTATTGTCGTACAAATAATCTTCTCAGAGAAGAATTTTCTATCATAACTGATAACTCAAAATAATTCTGATAATCCTTGAAGAAGACCGATAACTCTGTTATATCTTTGATATAACATCAAAGAATCGATTTAATTCATATTGAATTCGATTGATCTCCAACAACGTGTGACGAAGGATTATCTTCTAAGAAGTATCTATATAATTCTACTGTTTCTTTACTCGTTAAGCTGACGAGTGCAATGTATTTGGTATCACGATTATCGATGTTGCTAAGATGACTGGCGTGACAAATAACTTGGTGACGTTCAACATCTGTAATTCCGTTTCAGATACCGGTCGGCCTGGTCTGTTTTCCAGTGGTGCCAGGTGCGATGGCCGAACGGCGTAACGACGTAACGACGGGTGCCGCATTGCCGATGTCGTGCCTGCCGTAACTACCGTAAACGGGGTACGTGTACCCTCGTGTACCCACGCCAACCTTTGACTCTCTCTAGAGGTGGACGACTTATCGACCTGGGTGCTGCTAGCCAGGCCTACCACCAGTCAGGCCTTTGTCTCATTGGTTAGTTCAATCTCAAAATTTGACGACACGTCGTTTTTTCTTTTTTCTTTTCCTTTTTCTTCCTTTCATCAAACTCGAATCAATCAATTTCAAATTATCACAGAAAAAAAAGAAAAAGAACAATCCTTCGTCTTTAGAACGTTATTAAGCAACGTTATTCCATTCTATAAAATATTTTCGTAAGATGAATTATAATTACAAATGTGGATATATTTATTTATCCACGCGAGAATCAAGATGTGGAAATAAGAAAATCTGGAAAGATGTGTATTCTACTCTTTAGCCAGCATCCCCCAGAAGCAGTACCTTCGTAGTGTCTGAGAGGCCCTTGTCCTTCTAGGTCTTTTAGAGTGTTTGCGAATCAGGCCGCGACCCCGTAGTCGTCAACTGTGGTAGTGGTTGCAAAGGGTTGTGCCGCGAAATTAGAACATTGCATTCGTGAGGGTCGTCGCTGTCTCGCTCTCGTGGCGGGGCATCAATAGGAATAATACGAGCAACTATGCGATGTTGTAGCTCGTGCATAGGTAGACGCGAGTGTAACGACCTTACACCCCCGCAGGTAGCGCGAGATCGATGGGCTCCAACCTCTCATCCACAGTTCCTACCGCGGGCCAACTGCCTTCACCGTGCTCGCTTGTCCCACTTTTCTACTTTACCTCACCACTACCGACGTAACTCTACTTTGATTCGCACTTCTTACCGCTTATAAGCGAATTTACCAGTTGTTTATCAGTTCTCAGAAACGATTTTGTCGTTATTTCGTTCATCGATTTTGTTCTTATGGATATATAATTGCGGGACAAATGAAAAATAAGAATAGGAGAGGATGTTTCGTTTAAGATCGAAATCGTTAGGAATGATCTTGGTATATAGAATTTGTGGGGCGTGAATGAAATAAAATAAATCGGTTAGTTGTTTAAAATATATTGTATACGTTTCTCATAATGATAATAGTACGTTTTTTTCCATGATTCTTCGATCAAATTTTCATAATGATGAGCGATTAAAAATCGATCGATTTTATTATTGTAAAATTTTACTTCTATCTATTTATCTATCTATTGTTTCTATTTCTTGTTTTTTTTTTTTTGCAGAGAATACGCTAGTATCGTGTATATTGTGTATATGTGATACGGGTGAAACACTTCACTAGGAAAGCAAGTGCTCCAACAACAGAGTTATGTTTTCATAAACGTGATTATATATATACATATATATATATATATATATATATATATATATATATATATATGTGTGTGTATACGATCGTGATTATTGGAAAGATGAATTCGTTACGTGCATTCTATATAAACAATTACACGACGATCTATAAAATATATGTAAAAATTCATTTCATAAGAATTTCGCCTTATAAAATAGAACGTGCACTTTCTTTTTTTTTTATGAAAGATTCCTTCACAAAAATTTTAAGAAATGTGATTTTTTTTTTTGTATACTTTTCTATAAGAGATAGTTAAAATTCAAAATAGATCGATATGAGAAATATTAAAAAGATTCTTACTCTAATTTTATAAATAGAAGAAGATAAATTTACGATAAGATCGATGTTTTGAACTATCGAACGAAAGAAAATTCTATATCACTTAGGACTATTTTTCTTGAAGTCCTTTATACAATAATTTATACGAATTTATTATTTTATCAAGAAATTACCGCATGATCCTAGACAAAATTCATAATTATTATTATTATTATTATTATTTTGTAATTTCTTGAAAAAAGTCCAATTAAACTACTTTAATTCGCTTTATAAGCTTTAAAAAATTATCACATACACGTTACAAAATTCCTTGATTGATAAAAAAATCTACATATCGAGGTCGAATATTAGATCATTCTTAAATTGTGCTGTAACTTCGTCCTTTACAATCTCGGTTGCTTCGTTTATAATTTCTTCCTCGATACTTGATTTCCGTTTTAACGAAGAATGATTATTATTCGATCCCTCTCCAATTTCGATATTCGCAGTTTTTTGTTGCGCCGCTTGTTGTTTATCCTTATTAAGTATAGGTTTTATAGTCTCAGAGACTTCCGCATTTTTTTGATTTGCTTTGTACTTTTCACGTTCCTCCGTTTCGGAATTTTCGCTTTCGCTCATCCTACGTTCGTGAACGCGTCTTTTATTTCGTAATTTTCGTTGATTCTTTTTACGTTGACCCAAAATACTGGAATTAGATCTGGAAATTAAACGAGAATCAATCTATTTACCGTACTTATTATTATAAAAAATTAATGATCGATAAGATATTCAAAAAATTCAAAAATACCTGAACAATTGTCGCGATACCACGTCATTGAATCGTACTGTCTTTTTTAAACTGGAACAATCTGATTCAAGATTTAAATCTTGTGTCGAATCGTAATGGCAATCTACAGACGATGAAGCCATTCCATTTTCATCCGCACTCGATTCGGACACTGAACGTGAAAAATCATGAGTGTGCCGTGATTTCAATATACTTTTCGAGTATGATCCTGTATTTATGCTATTACTTGTTAATTCATCCCCACTGCTTTCTGAAACAGACCTAGTCTTTGGTAACGTACGACAAAGACTTGGTTGTTCTTCTATCGATCCTGTACTGTGTTGTTCGACTTCATCGTCAGAATCTAGATGTTTCGAAGTAATATTTATGACGACACCGTCTTCGTCAGCATGTACGTTGACTGTTCGATCCATTTCCAAATTATCATCTTCCTCTGCCTATATAAAATAACGGGAGGAGCGTAAAGTAATCTTTATTTTCTATTCATATATATATATATATATATATAAAATACCTACCAGTAATTCTTGTAGTTGATTTTTGAAAGACGTAGCAGTAGGAAAATGTCTCTCTTCCATGAATTCTTCGTTCGTACCAACATAGTATTGCGCTAAATTTTCCACGTTTTTTAACGTAATTGTAAATACAACGTTATTATCCCACGGTTCAACCGTGAGCGAATCGGGATCTACGGAATTTTCATTTATTTTTAAACACAACGAATAATGCTGTGGAAAGAAACCTGTACCTATAGACGTTAGTAAAACGTGTATTCCTAAATTATTTTGTAAAATTTTATGGCGTATGGAATTCGGATCGACATTTTTTACATTTACAGTAATCGCTAATTGATTGTTATACAAATTACAAATAAATGTTGGCAGTGAATACTTAATGCTAGGATCTAAAAATATGTCTATATTTTCTATGCTAGTCCGTAATGCTGTATCACTAGAATCCTCTATATTTTCACTTTCATACTCTATTTTAGTAGCTTCAAGCACTTTTTCACATTCTTCAACTAATTTAGACACAGAGTTGCTCTTCTGATTTTGATCAAGAGAATTTTCTGTAGAATCTTCTGACGATAATGGTGCTGGACTATCATGATCACTATCAACTCCACTATCTTCTCTAGCATCAGATAGCAGTACCACTGGTCGAATAACTGGTAGTGTTATTACAAGTTTTTTATATTTTGAATCAAATTTAGCATTACCCTTGTCTGCATTTACACAATAAGGTAAAGGTAATTCTAATAAATATTTTGCAGGTTTTTCACTTTTCAGACTGAGAAAACGTTCTTGTACATCCAAGGAAGCATCAGAAGCAGTTTTTAATAAGGGCAGATCTATGTTAATGATTAATTTCTTAGGTACTGTAGCATTCATTTTTGCATTTCTGTTATTGCTAAAATCTTCCAACTCTATATCAGATTGATGTTTTATGGAAAATTTTGGCGTCACATATTTGCTATTTATATCTTCAGTTTTATCTACTTTTTTATTATAATACTTGGTAGGTGGTGAACAACGCTTTGGCATTTCTTCTGCACATTTGAATTGTTGTTTTCTGCTTTCATCATAACTGGCCATTAATTTTTGATAAATTTCTGGTTCTATATCCAATTGTTTTTTAGGTGGTTCCTTTGATGGCTTTCTGATCACAGTAGGATGGCATATTCCTTTGTATGATATCTTTGGAAACTTAAGATTTTTCCGGTCCAGTTTGACCTGAGAATTACGTAGAATAAAAAATTTACAATAATGAATAATCGAAAAAACGAATAATCAAAACAATGGTTGACAATTCTTACCTTGAAATTATTTTCCACGCCATCGAGGGCTGTATTGTGAACAATTTCGCGAAATTGTGCATTTTTGGATGACAGATACATGGTGTCAGGATGAAAGACCACATCGAACACTTTACAACGTACATTTTTTTTGTCAAGGTCATCACGAGGAGGTGTCAACGTATAAGGAATAGACCATTGTAATCCACGATGACCTTGCTCGAAAGAAGGTTGACTGCTTGGTCGGTCAACAATGTTACTTTTGCTTATGTTTAGAAAACATTTTTTCTCTCCATTTACACTAGTTTTTATGACGTAACAAGGCTCGGGATGAACAAATGTAACGTCGACGCCCCGTTCCTTCTCCAATTGTGTGATTTCCTTTTCGTAGATCTTTCTATTTTCTGGATCAGTCACCTCTTCAGCGTATTCGATTAACAATTTACGAAACTCTTCCTTTTTCAGACACTCCGTTATATTCTTTAACTCTTCTTTGGTTACATCCAATTCTTCCCAATTTTTCCTATGTGTATCGTACGCGTCCATCTTACGAAATACTGTTTACAAATAAACTTGTAGATAGGTAGAAAGATCGCGAACTCTTATACCACGTGGATAGTTGCGCCACTACGCCGGCCGGTTGAATAGCGGTCAAATATGGAACTTCGAAACGTCTAATGGCGTTCGCGCCATTTTTTCTATTTTATTTCTATTTTCTTAAACCCATCAATCTATTTCTCTTCAATTTTCATAAAATCATTTTATGTTTCCTCTTCTTTTTTGCTACAGAGAAATAATAATATCAACGCTAGGGAAAAAATTCAACTTGTTCGTAATCTTTAGATATTTTTAATTCTTAATTTTTTTTTTTTTGTTTCGATTAAAATTCGGTCGAATCGCACGAAAATTCGATGACAAATATCGAATAGCAAAGAAGTAACATCATCGTTTAATAATAAAAATTTGAGCTACCTTTCACTGCACCAACTTCCCTACTATATGATTCCGTAGATGCGCTATTATAAAATTGCAACGAAAAATAAAAATCTGAAGCGATAAATTTTCATTTTAAACTTTGAACGAATATAATTTATTTATAAGTTAAGTCAATTAGAATTTCATCTCGAAATTGTTGTTCATTAAAACGTATAATTAATTATGCATAGAAAAGTTTTCCTTTCCGCAATTTCCAACTGTTGGTGGGAGTTTAGATGAAGATGTGGGGATTAAGCGGTACGAAGTCTCTGACCCACTGACATTCTCTTTAGTTACTTGGTAGACACAAACGTCGATAATTTGTGACTTTCAAGACTTTCAATGTCCGTAATCAGGATTATTTGTAGAATAATATTTAAGAAAAGAAGGTAGCCACCTTCGAAAGGAACAAACGATCGATCATTTTGAGATGCGGTTTAATCGCGGCTTGGTAACTAGTGTCGCTGCTTGCTTAACAGTTTTCTTCATCATTTTAAATTTAAAATCAACTATAGAGACTGTAAACAATTCAGGGATAAATATAAAAGAGCCATACGTTGGGGAACGTAATATCCACAAGGATCAGGTAAATTGAACGTCCGATATTATAAATTTAAATATTATATTTAAAATTTAATAAAGTTTTCGACACAGTTCAACTCGAAAGCGAATTTTCTTTTCGAATAACGCATCGATCTAGTTTAGGCTGTGCATTGCAGTGAAAGTGCATCGGTGAAAGAATGCAATTATTGGAAAGTGATCTTTCTCCTTCACGCATTTTATAAAATGCTTCTTACAAAATAAAAGAGGTCCAGAGATCGCAAGATTGCATGTATTACAGGCGTTACTTTTCTCTCGTTTAATAACATATAAGTTGTTAAATTTATTAAATTAAACTATATCATTATATCATTTTGTATACACGATTAATACGAGATTTATTTTGCAGACGTATCGATATGTTACCCCCTCTCTCGCGGAATTAGCTGCTCGTGGAGCTTTGCCGAAAATGAATAAACATATTTTAATGCTGACTCGTGTACCCGACGCAGGAGCCGAACTGTTTGTCCTGTTGCTACAACGTTTGCAGGGTTACAATGCATTTAAGCATATACGATTACCACCCGGTGATCACGGGCTTCTATCAACTTTGCAAGAGGTAAAATTTAATAAGATACACAGTCGTCGATTCAATCTTATTTTTCTTGCACTTTTTTTTAGCCCTTATACGAATATTAATCGCGATTAATTTCGATAATTTATTCGTGTGAATGAAATGCGAATCACCAGTTGATTCATCGATCGCAGATCCTCGAAAAATTTAAAAATTTAATCATAAAATGGTCGTTGCACTTTGCACGCTCGGAGCCAGAATCAGTCGATTTTCAGTGTTGCAATCGAAGTTGTGCCACTTTCATCTTTCCAATTAAAGTAACCGGGCGGGAAATACTTATTTGGAGCATGTTTAGGTGAATTCAAGAAGATAGCGCAACTGCGCGAAATACGATAGAAAAGTTAATAAATATGAAAAGTTTCGTATATATATTTATATTTTTATCGGTTATTTTCGTTAATTTTCACTTTTCGACGAGGAGAAGACAGTTTTTTCTTTTTTTTTTTTTAGTAAATAACTTTAATATCTTATTTTATAGGAACTTTTAGTAGAAGAAATTACTAATATCATAAGGCAGGAAGCGATTCCTTTAAGTTTCGACGGGGATGTTAGATTCTTAAACTTTTCAAAGTTCGGGCGAGTGTCTCCGTCATTTATTTCTTTAGTAAGGAATCCTATAGGAGTACAAAATTTTCTGAGGTAAAAAAAATCACGTTTTTTCCCTAGAATTTATATGAATATTTCGTTAGAAATAATATTTGTACGCGTTTGTACGATACATTGGTACACTCAGTGTTGTATAATAGTATATCGGCGTAATTTTAAGCGTGCGTCGAATATGCCATTTATGCCATTTTTTAGATATCACGAGAGACGAAGAAATATGGTGGAAAGTAGAGCCATACCCATATTTTGTGGCCAAGATCCTCGATGCTCGTAAGTATTCGATTAATAATATTTTTTTTTTTTCTAGCACATTTCGATCTCTCGATCTTTCTCTGTGATCTTAATTATAGAGAAATAAATAATAAATGGGCGTTACAACGGGCCAAAGCGAATGTCGTTGAATGGTATCCTGTTGTCGGAATATTGGAGTACATGGAACAATCGATAGACGTACTGGAATACAAATTTCCATATTTCTTTCGAGGTGCTAAGCATAGTTACAAAAAAATTCGTAAGTAAATATAAGATACAATTGCAATTCCATATTATACGCGATGCTATTATAAGCGAGGTTTATTAAGGTTTTGAATTTATCTTGATCATTCAGAATCAAAAAATAAACATTTTCCCGATCCCACATTTATGTTAAATTCGCAAGAAGGCTATAATATTTTGTCTAAACTCTTTGAGGATGAAATAGAGTTTTATCAATGGTTGAAATTACGACTTTTAAACGAAACAATGAAGAAGAAACGGTGATGGGAGCCAATATTCGTCAAGAAAGGAAATTTTCTCACGTTTGTTTCGAAGATAGATACCAAAGATAATTAATATTAAAAAAAAAAAAAATTTCCTTACAAAAAGGAATATAACAAGGTGAATGAATTATTTCTTTCTCTTTTCTATCTTTTTATTCGAATATTATGAAATTATAAATCTTCTATTATTTAGGATGCGTGTAAAAAAAAAAAAAATATTATTTTTCCATTGTCACAGCATATAATTTATTCATTTTTTACATTCGTATTGTAAGTTTATTATAACAATAAGTATAATTATTTATACATATGTAGGTATAATTTCAAGTCAAAGATATAATATTCGTGTTTTCAATAATTATAAGATAAGATCGATGTTTAAAGTATTTTTAATAATATAATAATAAAAATATAATTCTTATATTTAATTAGAAATATAAGAATTTATGTCATCTTTTATTATTATTCTTTCTTTCACATCGATAGACATAAAGTAGAAAACATAAAGAAGAAAATTAACTTTTCCTCAAGTATCGATGCTCAATTTATATGATACTTTAAACATAAAAAAAATCTTATAATCCGTTCAAGCAGTTTAATATTGTAATCATTTAAATGTATATAGCAATCTTTTAAACGTATCGGTCTTATTATATCACCGAGGATGAAAGTATTTTTTTTTTTTTTTCTTTTTTCCTTACTAAATATTTTAACGAAATGTATTTAGAATAAATACGAAAATGTACAAGGAAATATTAGAAAACGTACAATGATTATTTCCTGTTTACCGGCTGTTTATATAATATTAGCGGGATATCATGTAACGAAGCTCTTATTATTTATTTACATTTTCTTGAAAAATGCAAGTTTCCAATATCACAACTATCGTATGATAAATATTAGAGAAAAAAAAAAAAAAAAAAAAAAAAGAAAAAAAGAAAAATGAATAATTACCAGCATTGATACGACAGAAATGACAGAAATTACTTCTTTGATGATACATTATTACAAGCAAAAGGACGTATATTTTTTTTTATAGCTTAATAGAACATATAAAAATATCATTTATTTGAGTAAAATTCGAAATGTTGTTATATAAAAATGCCGCTATCGTTATCAACGATGGTGTACACGGTGTATGATTTTAAATTGAACGAAAAATAAAATTAAGGGGTGTCGGAAAGTGATTTCGACCATTTTATACGCATATCGCGCGTGCAGCAAAACATGGCAATCATGTTGATGTACAAATGAACGAGCAGCAACATGAGCCAAACGTGCCATCACTTTTTCTTCGCATCCTTTAATCCAGCCCCAGCGTTAAACTTAAAGAAAATTATATCTCCATCCTCGACGACATAATTGCGTCCTTGCTGTCTATATTTCCCGGCAGCCTGTTATAAAGAAGAAGGGAACGGGCATTGAAATAAATTCAACGCATTGTGATTATATATCAATAAGGGATATATATATATATATATATATATATATATATATATATTCACCTTTACAGCAGCTTCCGATCCTTCGTTTTTAAAATCGTCAAATTTCATAACTTCAGCCATGATAAATCCTTTCTCGAAATCCGTGTGAATTTTTCCCGCGGCTTGTGGTGCCTTCGTACCCCTCTGAAAATGTTCAATGATATTTGAACAAAAGGGAAGAGAGATCCCCAAACAACAAAAGCTTATAATGCTTCGATCGTTACCTGGATCGTCCATGCCTTGACTTCGTCGTGGCCCGCCGTGAAGAAGTATTGCAATTGAAGTGCCTTGTATCCTTGAACGATGATCTTGTCGAGGGCGCTTTAACGAGAAAAATGATTTCGTTAAAGTTGATAATTTTTTTAGCATTATGATAGAAAAAAAGAAAAAAGAAAAGAAAAGAAAAGAAAGGAAAAAAAGGGGAAAGGAAATAGATTCTTGGTTCAAAGAAGGGGTGGCCAAAAAACCAGGACCACGGAATATGATTGTCCCGAACCGAATATCGTCTAATGACAGGGTATAAGAAGGGAAGCCATCCTATTCTGCGAGCCCGACGAACTTCCAGACTTCAGAGAATACACATAAAGCTGAACGACTTAATACCGCAATTTTATCACTCTAACTCTGTCCGAGAGACCTACTTCGGCGCCCCGGTCATCTGCGGTCTAGAAATAAAATCGCTGTATCTAGAGATCTTCCGTTTGTCCCCTGTGATTACCTGCGAGAAGAGAAACCTCGTCGTATACGATGATTTGCGAAGGGACCGGTCGAAAAATTTGGACCAAGAAAAAAAAAAAAAAATTTACAATTTACCAAACCATGATTATACGACTAGTATTCATTGAATAGAAGGAACACCATCACTTAATATCTTTCACCGCAAATAACACGATCAAACACGTTTCGTTTCATTCCTCTCCCCTTCCTCCTCCTCCTCGTTCGTTATCATTTCTCTTCTTTTGAAACGCGCGACTATGTTCAAAAAATTATTTACACGATTAAATATACTCGATCGAGTTTATCATGCACGTGCACACGAACAACATACAAGCTTTTAAACTTATCCCGCCAATGACCCACTAGCCAACTGAACCGGTTGATCCTCATTCCACTCGCCTCCTCCCTGGTTATACCGGTGTGCGTGCCCGGGAGGGTAGGAGGGGTTTTTATGCAATTTTGCAAGAATTTGAATAGCCGTTCGTAAAAATATAATGCGCCGCAGCGAGGATGCCGCAGTTTTTATTAGTAACCCCTCTACGTGAAAGTAGGGCTGGTCTAGACGCTTAAAGCCCCCTCGCTTGTTATTACCGTTAGTAGATAACTCGGTGCATAACTAAATATGGGAACCCGACTTTGTTCGGGTTTTCAGGTTTTCGGGGGTTAGGCGAAACGTTTAATTTTACGAACGTTCGCCCCCCCCCTCCCCCTCCTCTCGTCCCTTTCCTCTCCTCTTTCACACTTATTCCTCTCATTTATGTGTGAAGCATAAGATACAAATTCGTTCTCGTTTCCGATTTCTGATTCACCTTGTAACCTTGTTCTCTTCTAAATATTTCCCGCGTTCCGCCTCGTTCATGTCGAGCAGCTTGTTTTCAAACACGCCGCTGAACGGGATCAGAATTGCCCCTGGATCGTTCTTGTCCACCCATTCCTTGATTTTGATTAACCTGAAAATCGTAATCATCGTTAATCATAGCATATATGAGAGAGTAGACGAAATCCACGAAGCAACGATAATGTAATAAACCGTTTTTACCATTTATTCTTTTTACGCACGTAATCCTTTTCGGACAGGTTGATCAAATAAATAACAGGCTTCGACGTGAGGAATAAATACTTGTTCAAAACCTCGATCTGGAAAATGGAGAAGAAGGAATCGAGGAATATTTAATTAATCTAATATAACGGAATGTAGAAATTAAACTCACATCGGTGGCGCTCCAATCGGCAAATCTGATGTGCCTCTTTTCATCCACCATCACACCTTTCACTTTCAACAACGTATCCTGCACAAAGAAGGATACATCAATACATTACGGTTTAAACATCATACTCACGTGAACGAAAGAATCACGTGTTTTCTAACAAAGTGGAATAATAATTTTTAATAATAATTTCGTGCAACGATCGGAGGATAACGAAAGGATGTATTTGGAAAGACGAAGAGATGGTGGTGGTGGTTTCGAACTGTCGAAAAGTTTTTAGCAAATTGCCAACGAGTCTGGAGGGGAGAGAGATCGGAAATTGCCGTGGGTCAATCCACGGAAAGTGGGTAATTCGATTGATTCGTTCTAGGAAGTAGTGTACCACCACCCCCGTAAATTTCGTTCACACTCCATTTTCGAATGCAGATTTTCTTCGAGTTTTTCGACCAATTGCTTCTCAATATGAAATAAATATTATTTCCATTATTTAAAAGATACACTTTGATTACTCACGTATTCAGGCTTGAGCTTCTTGTCGTTTCCTCGAACAACAAGTTTCTCCAATTTCTCGAGATGGCCGTTCAAGAATTCGATGTCCTTCAACCGTAACTCCTCGCTAATGATCTCGAGATCCCTCACGGGGTTCACGTCTCCCTCTACGTGAGTAACGTCGTCGTCATCGAACGCTCCTGCGTGAAAAATCGCATCATGAAGAAGAAGAAATTTCCCCCTCTCTTCTTTAATTCTTAAAGTAATCAACTCTTTCTCTCCCTCTGTGTTCACGTTTTACTGTCGCATGTCGCGAGACAAGCTTCGTGATAGCTTCGTGTTCGACGACACGAGACAAGAACGAACGAACATAATGACGGGTTAATCGCTCCATCTCCTCTTCCCTTAACACGTTGTCAGATTTTATCATATGTTGTAATTTGTGGAGGGAAAAAAAAAAAAAAAAAAAAAAAANAAAAAAAAAAAAAAAGGAAGAAAAATTATTAAAATTATTAAAATCGTCGATCGACTTACGACAAAGATGAAAAATTCCGTCGCAAGCGTTGATGTGCGAGAGGAAACTGTTCCCCAATCCTTGCCCCTCCGCCGCGCCCTTAACCAATCCAGCGATGTCCACGACGTTCAAGAAAGCCGGAACTTTGCTGCAAAGATTATTGTAAAGATTAAATTAAAAAAAAAAAAAAAGAAGAAAAAGGAATACATTGAGATTTTCGACAGGGATAAGAAATTACACGGTGCACTTTTTGAATTGGAAACGGAGGGGGGAGGGGGGATAGCTAAGCGACAACGAGCCGTATTTAAATGCTAATGCAAGTAGCATCATTAAACAATTAGCCTTTGAAGACTGGCGTGTTGGTAAAATGACCAAGAATGGGGAAGGGGAGAGTGTTAGAGATGGCTTTCATTAGGGATCGTTGAATCATCCGACACGTGCAACAAGCAGGAGTTGGACCGTGTGCAATATCTCTCTCTCTCTCTCTCTCTCTCTCTGGAGGGCCGTTGCTCTTTGATCTCGACGCCGTTTTCGCATTTTAATCTCTCCTAAATTAGCGGAATTGTGAACCGACACGTGCCCCACGGCAAACTCACTTTCGATAAACTGCTTGTTTTTTACATAACCTCTTTTCAACGAATTCGCACGATTCCAGTTCAATCTCATCGAGCCGTGATAAAAAGTAAACACGACGGCTTTCATCGACTCTTCCCTGCTCGATGCACGCCAAACAGTTTCGACAGGGCTTCCATTGTCAGTTTTCAAAGTAGAATGAAATTTTAATTAATTCGAATGTACGCATTAGTTAAAATGTTCTTAAGAAACGAAGACTTTTAACTTCTTCCCAACTTCTTATTTTTTTGAAAATAATATATTCGAAATAAACAACGTGTATTTTGTAAATATCTCGTTATATAGTTATTATATATTTTTTATTCCAGAGATTTATAATCTTATTTTTTTTTTTTCTTCAGAATAGAAATATTACTTGAAATTTATTATTATTACAAGGCGAGTTATGCGAGAGAGGTACGCAAAGTCGATAGATATTCGACTACGATGTGTGGGGAATTTTCTTGAATCTGCATTGCAGATCACGTACCGCTTTCACGTACCGTCCCCCCACCTTGCGAAAATAAAAGTATGGAAACGTCAACGATTATTCCAACTCGTTTCCCATCGCGAGGGTGGATTTTGGACTCGTTGCCTTCACTCGATAATACAGCGACTACATCGGATCATTCGAATCGATTTGTGATCCACAACACAATATTTAAAACGCGTACAATATTTACATTTACGTACCTGGCCGGTTTGAAATAGTCGCAGAGATAATCGAATCTCGAGTCAGGAACAGGTACGCGACGTGCTGAAAGATGAATTAATCTGAATTAAACGAACGAGCGTGTTTCTTTTAAAAAGAAAAAAAGAAGGGAAAAGAAAATAGAAATTCTATTCAACGTTGAATTCGTCTATTTACAAAATTGTTTCATCACACAGAAGATACAGAAGAGATATCGATGATAACAACTTAGGCTAAGTCAAAGTATGAATCCTCGATATTATTAATATTTATATTCGACTCTTCGAGGTTGTTCTCGTCGAGGTCGACCAAAATTTGGGTCGGCGACGTCCGACAGAACGAGACGTAGTTGGTGTCGCGTTTAGGATCGTCACCTATCACGGACAATTGGCTGAACGTGTAACCGTAATGACGGGGTCTCTTCTTATACTCGTTCACGCTGATGAAAGGGTTTAGAATTTGCTTCATCATCCGGCTGGCGAGCTTCAATATCTTCTCGTAACCGTAAATCCTTTCGTTGATAGCTCTGTACAACTCCGTCTCCCTTGAAACGGGCTCGTTTTTCGCCTTCAAGTACGTGCCGATAAAAATGGCGGCGGTGGCCGAGGGCGACATACCCGGGAATTTTGGCCTGCTTATGGATACCTGGTTTATAGCGTCGATTATCAACAAAGCGACCGTCTGTTCAAGGAAGCCAAGATTCGGCAATGCCCCGATGTCGATCGGGGCCAAGGTGCGGGTGAAATTGACCACGGTGTCCGCGTATCTCTCAGGCTTTTCCATAAACTTGTCGCGGCACGCGTTCGAGCAGAACAAGTACACGTTGTCCTTGTACAAAACCCCTATGCTCAGCTTTCCTCGGACGATGTTCCGACTCGGTAGATGGTCGAGATAAGTGACCGAGCACAACCCTTTCACTCGCAACCGTTTGATCCAGCACGGATGCTCCAAATCGATCGTCTCTGTCAATATTCGTGGACGTTGGTCGGGAAGATATCTCGTATTTACCGGTGGAAGATACCTCTCCGGATCCTCGACGAACTCGTCCACGTGTTTCGGGCAAATCCAGTACAAGTGCTCCCTGAATTGGACCACCCCTCGATGATCGGGGACCTCGCTCCTCGTCAACGCGTCCTCGTGATACAAGCAAAGGGGGCAATACGTTTGGAAACTGCTTTGCTTGCTCCTGAACTCGTAAGGGGAAACGCTCATATACCTCAAACTATGAACCTTCTCGTAATCGCTCTCGCGAAAATATTTCCTGATCTCGACGTATCTCGAGCAAACGTCTCGATCGGCACGTGTCCACACGTGCCACCTGCACTTGGTCGCGTCCATCTCGATCACGTTCTGATTGAAATTTCTCAACCAGCGTCGATAATTATCCTGATCGATCCGCCATACGTCGTAAAGGTGGGTCAAAAATTTCTTGGAAAATCTGGGCGGTTTGGTTATCTCGTCGTCCCCTTCCCGCGACAAGCACTCGAGCGAGAACTCGAGATCGGATTTCAGATCGAGGACGATGATCGGTTGGACGCCGAAGTAGGTGAGTTGCTCGTACTCCCTTCGACTCATGGGGAAACCGTCCAACACGAAGCCCTGGGAGATTATGCTCGGGTCGATCGAGTACATCTCGATGGCCCGTTGCATCTTCTCCATCGGGACCATTCGTCCCATTCGTAGATGGGACTCGGCCGATTCGGCCGATTCCACCCAAGGGAAATATCTCATGATGTAACGTAGGGCGGAGCCACGGGTGATCAGCTTCAACTTGTACTTCTCCGCGAATCGTTCGGAGAGGGTGGTTTTCCCGCACTTAGGCGGCCCGATCACCGAGATTCGAAACTGCGTGATGGGCGCGTAAGAGTCCTGCTCGAGATACTTGTACGGATCCCTGACGAATTCCTCCTGGGCTTCCTTACCGCCGAAGAAGTAAACGTATTGGCGGTGTACGGCCGGGTATACATCGTCCCTGAACTCCAACGGCAGGAACATTTGGAGAGGGATCTCGTTTCGATGCAATTGGACCGGGCACCAACGGCCGAACGAGCTGAGGAAATAGTAGCCGCAATCGAGCAACGAGTCGGCCGTTTCGATGTCTATGCTGGATATTTGCTCGAGGATGGAGGTGGTACGGCGCGTGTAAGGCTCGATGATCAGCATCGCTTGCTGGAAAACGTTCCCGGGGCTTTTCTCCGCGTCGAGCACGATGTAAGGTATAGACTCGTTGGCCAGACTCTCCCTTACGGCGTTCACCTTCTCGGCCTCGTTGTCGTACTTCCTCGAGAACTCGTCCTCGATCCTTCCCCTAGCCGTCTCGAAATCCTCCCAATCGGTGAACAACACCGGTTCCGGATTCTCCTGATACCATATCTCCTCCAACTCGTACCTCCTCGACTCCATCTCCTCCTCCCCACCCCCGTACTCCTCCGGATCGAGCAACCTGACCTCCCTGTTCAACGCTTCCTCGATCCAATCGTCCCGTCTCCTCTCGTAATGTTTCAACTCCATCGCGTACCGCTCCCCCTCCGCCTCCTTCTCCGCCTCCAAATTCTTCTCCCAAAGCGCGAACAAATTCCCCATCATTCTCTCGGACGCCGTTTCTTTGCCGCAACGAAGCTCGAACACTATCTCGGGCACCGTGTAATGCTTCAACGCCGTTTCCACGTCTTGGGGACAGCTTGGAAATTGATCGAACACTGCCCCCGACCTGTTGAACATCCCGTTGAAATAATCCAACAAGCACTCCCTGTGCATCCTTGGAGGCAGGTGGCCACCCTCGCTCCAGTAACGGCGTACGAACGTCTGTATGGTAGGTTGGTCGCTGTTGTACCTCTCGTCGTTCAGATCCTCCGGCAACTCGACGGGGTCCAGGAGGCCGCCCCTCGCCAATATTATCGCGTGTTTGTCGGTGATCGGTGGCATGGCGCGCAACCTCATGTAATTGGTGAAGCAATCGAAATAATCCACCCAGACCAAGCCGCACTCCCGCGATATAGCGTCCGAAAGCGTGCTCCTCCCGCTCCCCGTTGGCCCGATCACGCTGACGCGGAGGGGGGGGACGGTGGACAACGGCCTCCGTAAGGGAAGATTCAATCTCCTAGGATCCCGGATGAATTCCTCGAGGGCTTGGCTGCTCGAGCAGTGATACATCTTGTCCATGAAAATCGCGCCGAACTGTTCCTTACCTTTCCAGAACACGTTGTACCTCATCAACGCGACGGGGCAATAATTGGCTGTGTCCCCTAGACGAAGATTGGCGGTCTGCTTCAAATCCCCCGCCATTTCTTTCTCCTCCCTCTCCTCCTCCTCCTCCTCCTCCTCCTCCTCCATATCCACGGTTACGTCGGCCATACCCGCGTACTCGGCTAGGAACTTCTCCCTCTCCTTCTCCTCCTCGGTCATCACCCTGGCTTTGTCCGTGTAACGATCCTTGATTCGTTGGATCGCGTGTGCGAACGTATCGGCGAGTTTCCCAACGTTGCACGGGATCAACGTCTCGCAACTGTCGCCAACCATCTCCTCTATCGTCTTCCAATCGAGGTAAAATTGTTGAACGTGCCTCACGTATTCGAACAATCCTTCCTCGTATTCCCCCTCCCCCTCCTCCCCCTCCTCCTCCTCATTCGAACGATCGAAAACCGTTCCGTTTCTCCCCCCTTCGAAAATATCCCGCCACTTGGACGTAAGATATTCGTAAGGCTCCTCGTCGACCAGGAGGACGGCATCCTCGAAGACGATCCCCGAATCCCTTATCACGTTCCAAGACTCGGCGTTGGGATACATACCGTCCACCACGTAACCCCCGTCCCTCCACACGTCCTCGTCGATCCTCTCCCCCGGTATATCTTTTATACGTTCGACAATCGCGTCCGCCTCGTTCCTAAACGGAACGAGGTCGCTGGTCAGATAGTAGCCGATCTCCGGATCCACGTCCAACGATCTCTTCATCTCCTTCACGTTTATCGCGATCCCTTTCAATTCTCGGGCCAACTCGCGGCAGAGGTCGGTCTTCCCGGAATAATTGGGCCCGAACACGACTACCCTGCACGTCGGCCGTGGCGAGAAGGGACGTAGAAAGGTCCGAGGATTATCGACGAACAGATCGACCGCGTCGCTCGACGAAAGGAAGAATATCTTGTTCATGAAACGGACGCTGTGCCTCGCGCTCCCCCTCGTCGTTCTTCCTCTCGTCAACTCGACCGGGCAGAGGAAATTCCAGGTGGACAGTTTCCAAGGGAAGAACGGGGACACGGTCTCCCTGTTCGCCAAGTCTCGATAAGCCTCCTCGTTCGATCTCTCCTCGAACTCGTCCCCGTGGAGGAGTTCCCCTTCCGTGTTCTCCACCAGCCTGACAGGGAGAATAACGCGTCGCACTGGCAACGTGCGCAAACGGGCGCTAAGCGTGCGGAACATGAACGCTAGGGGGGAACGGCCGTCCAGCTTGATCACGTTTTGAGGATTGTGCAGCAGGATGCGTTTGTCGATCACAGGCATCACCGAACGTTTGAAAAACTCGCATTGGATTTTCACGTTCGACGACTCGTCCGATATCCGTTTGAGCAGATACTTCCCGTGATCCTCGTCCAGGAGCCGTTCCTCGTCCATCAACTCTTTGTACAACTCGTAGCTCGCGTTCATGTAATGCCTGATCTTCTCGTGGTTGAACAACATTTGGATCTTGTCCGCCATGTCGAGGAAACTCGTGTCTATGATACGGCCGATCAACGGATTCAATCGGAAGTGATAGCGCTTCTTCACGTGGTCCTCGTCTGGGCACATCAAGTAAATGATCAACGTCGGTTTCAACGGCCAGCTCGCGAAAATATCCTCGATCTGGGTCGAAACGAACTCCTCGTAATTAGCCTCGACCACGCACCCTTCCTTCGAATCTCGTGTCTCTCGACGACACGCCACCCCGCCACCGCCCTCCACCGTTTCCTTGCACGTCATCTCGAACGAGGGATTGAAGTATCTCATGGTGTCCTGATACGCGGCATTAATCGCCTCCTCGTCCACGGGCAGATAGGAGGAGTAATCGAGGGTCTTGTTAGGGATGAGAGGCAATCCTTCCACGATGTACCCTTTGTGGTACACGTCCCGTTTCTTGAGACGGTTAAGTATCAAGTTCATGATTATATCCGGGCCCACGTAACCGCCCAATTTCAATATCTTGGCCATTAATCGACCTTTCTCGCTACCCTCCTCGATCTCGAGTTTGATGAGGTAAACGGGGTTGATTAGGATGCATTTAAACGTGGTGGCGATCATGCTCGCAAGTTTCATTGTGTTCAGATCGGGTTTTCCGAGCATGACGAAGCAGGTTGGCTCCCTCTCCAGGTATTTCCTTTTCGTCTCAGTGTCCATGTAGGGGTCGCGGTTCGCGAACGGCTCCTCGGAGGGAGGGAAGTGCGGTACATTTTCCGTGTGGCCCTTCGATAAACTCGACTCGGAGAATCGGGTGAACGGATTCGTGTCCTCGTGGAACGCGTAGTAATTGTTCGCTTTTGGATACAAACGGGGCAGAGGTTTCGGCCAGGTGGGCGCGTATTCCTCGCGGGGATGGCCTTTAATGTGCTTGAAGTGACTTCTCTTCACGATGAACGACGCGTCCGTGTCGAACTCGTCCACCTTCCTCTCCCGTTTCTTCCGTAAAGGTGCACCTTTGTCGCACATGCTTGCTTCTCTTTCATTTTTGAGGTTATCGAAAAATTCTTTCCAACAAGAAGGTTGTTCTTTCAAACAAACAAACGACGCGTGCACAGTATATCGTGTACACCGTGTCTCTTTACTTTTTCCCGTCGAGATGCAAGATCGACGACGAGAGATCGACACGTTTCTTCGTAACGAAATATATTCAACGAGTATATGCACGATTAATAGGATTAATATTGATCTAAAGCAAGTATAATAAAGTATATATGTATATATATATATATATATATGGATACTTATTTTCATTGGGGTCGATGGTGCAGAAGGGGAAATTCTCAGCAGCCGCTTGACTTTTCGTCAACACGTTGAAGAAGGTCGATTTCCCTACGTTAGGTATGCCCACTATACCAACTTTCAAGTTGGTGCCCACACGGCCAATAAGCGGTTTCCGTTCCGGCTCCTCGATTTTCTTTGGCGCCATCCTAAGGGAAATAGAAATCTATCGTCATCTCTCTCGTTCCTTCGATTTTCCTCCCCTCCCCCCCCAATTCCATCCAAAGGAACGTCGATTCATCTTTTCTTTTTATTAACGTATTAACAACGCGTGGCCTCTTTCAACGAACGTCGAAAGAAAGAAAGAAAGAAAGAAAGAAAGAAAAAGAAGAAACGATATAACAATATTTGCATATACACGGCGCGTGTATATAGACGCAGAAATGAAAATGACTCGGCATTTGTTGGCTCGACGCCACGCCCTTCGTCGCTCCAACCCTTGGAATCTTTAACATTTGCCCCCGGCTTGGAACGGAATCAAGGCAGAGAGGGCGAGTAAGTCGGAGCGGCGAGTCGAATCGTGGTGGTGGTGGTGGTGGTGGATTCGAGCCGGGTCGAGTCGGCTTCTCAAACATCGAGAGTCGCTTTCGACCGCTCGGGGTGACTAATTATATTAATGCGGACGGCACATCAAGCGATTGCTGTATTTACCGCGAGATTGCCCCCCCTTCTTTCTCTCGATCCTTGGCCGCGCCATATCAAAAGGATGGAAACGGGTACGAGACGCCTACGGGAGGTAAAGGGGGATGCGAGGAAGGGAGAGGCGATACGAAAGTGCTGGGGAGAGGAGGGAGGGGGAGGTGGATACTCTCCTCGGCGAGTAAAGATGCGAGGGAGGAGGAATACGTCGGGTAAGGGGACCGACGATTACTGGGCACCAAAGCCGCGAATCACCGGCATCACGCCGGGAATCTGCAACCGCGCCTTAGGCCGCCAATCCGCCACCGACTTTGCCGCGATTCCTCTCTCTCTCTCTCTCTCTCTCTCTCTGTCGCCTTCCTTTCGTCCCACGATCGACCACCATTCGAACGGCCTTCCCCTTTTTTCCCCCGTCTGAAACTGTTCCTCTGTCTCTGGAACTCTGTTTAACCGCGCCACCTTCCTCCTCATCCCCCAGAAAATTTGCAAATTATATGGATAATGGGAGAGAGAGAGAGAGGGAGGGAGAGAGGAAAGGAGACCCGCCCTATTCGTTCGACGAGGCGCCGTCGCTCTTTTTTCTTTGTCTATCTTATACGGTGGAAATTATTAGTCGGTTTAATAAAATACTTAAATACTCGGTACGGGTCCGCGTAAATTTCGAGATTTAAAAATTTAAAAGAGGCGCCAATTCCACGGTACTGCATTGGACGTGTTGGGGGAGCTTCAGGCTTTGAGATGTAGCATTGCACGGTGCTGCCTCGTAACACTAGCCACTCGAACCAGCCACGAGATGCACACCAGAACTTAACCTTACTTTGGCTGGGAGAACGAGTTATTTATAGATTGCTAACTTTAACAATTTTCGAGTGCACGTTTTTTAAGATTCTCACCGCACACTTGAACCATTTGCCCATACCGGGGATTCGTATGAACGTTTCTATCAGCGTAACGGGCATTGCATCATTTTTACATGCGCGTTACGTTACCTGTCTCTTCGTACGAAAATTATATGGGAAATTTCTTATAGTATAGCACTATTTTCACACACGATTCGTGCAATTGGATGATCAAGCGTCGATTAAATACCTTGTATATCCTTCTTCACTGTTTCTAAACAAATATCACCGTACAACGCGTGGCAAAGAAAGGAACACAGCACTACACTGACGTCACACGTTCGACCGGCCTTCAGTCGCGAAATAGGGAACTGTATTACCAGCCGAGAGTATCTTCGATCGAATAGAAAAAGGAGAGAGAGAGGAAGAGAGAGAGAGAGAGAGGAAAAAAAAACAAGAGGCGGACTAGACGGATTATTAAATAAAAAAAACGAGCAATCGACGAGTATTCTTATTTATTCGAACTGCCTCGAATAACGACAATACGGTCAATTATATCGTTCAATTTTTCGTATTGCCATTTTGATACTTTAGTTTCGCTTTGTAATTTTTGCGAAACGATTCCCTAGTTGATTTCGATGATTCGATCCGCTCTAAGTATCTATAATTCGAAGACCAGTTCATTGTAATTCTAGGAATAGAATTTATGAAATGAAGCGCTACCTTTAATCTCTTGGAAGAAAAAGGGGTCATCAGAGAGAAAGAAAGAGAGAGAGAGAGAGAGAGTTGATTGTAATGCTTTCGTAGAAACCATAAACACGCATGCTTCTTTCGCAACAAATATATCTCCTTCGAGATGAAAAAAAAAATATATACACGATTTGATTGAAATCGTTGTAACGCTTTTTCATCGAGAATTGTAATTTCGCTCAAATAGGATAAACGTGCGTTTTTTTTTTTTCTTTTTTCCGATAACCGTGGATTCATCAACTGAGACACTTGAGTCACTTTACGATTACAATTAATTATCGTACGTTGCGTACAAAAGTTTTTATAAATGCTCGTGTGTACGTAGAGAAGAAGATCGATACGATCGAAAATACGAACGCGATTATTGGATCTAATTCGACGGTGTGCGTTATGTGATGGGAACGCACGTTGTGGATCACCGGAGGGCCGTAATTCGAAGGATAATATTAAGATTGCTTCAGAATGAAAGAGAAAGAAAAAAAAAAAAAAAAAAGATGGCCGGGGATGGCCGCGCGTGTGTGTGCCCTTACGGTCTACGGTCCTTTTAGTGGCGCCGTGAGATCGGATCGAGAAAAGAACGAGACGATCGTTTTGAATTTTTAACCCGGGAAATTTTTTTTTTTCTTTCTTCTACGATACTACACATCCGAGAAAATAAAAATTTCTCTCGGAAATTGATTTTCATATCGTTTCGATTAGAACAAACGAAGTTGTTGATTCGATCGTAATCGTTGGCAAAATTTCTGATAACCTGACCAACCGAATCGAATATTTGTTACGAGCTTGATATTACGTTAACCGATATTTCATTTGGCGAACAAATTTCTAACATTGTGCTCGACCTTGTGCCGTATGATTATTTCAATTATTTTATTACGAACCGTATCAATCTCGGCCCATATAATGCATATAATCAGAAGGCTATTATTCCACGAGCGCACGGCTGGCGGAAAGGACCTATTCCCCTACCTCCTCCATAGTCCATACCTCCATAGTCTCGCCCGGTTTTCGTGATATTGTAATTTGGAGACCGCAAACCTCGCTGACGTCACTGGTGCACCATGGTCGAGGAGCATCTTGCCGGCGTGGCGCACGATCGAAACTCCTTCCTCTCTCCCCCCCCTCTCTTATTGGCCGACAATTTCGATGAAAAGCATATTAAAGGCCGACGAATTATAGGAATTTCGGCGGATTAGATTGTCGGCCGAATTGAAGGATTGCGTTACTAATTCGCGACGAAAACGCAACGACGCGCTGCCGCTCGTTGCTTTCAAGATTTATTTGGACGTGGTTGGATTGATTGCGATGAAGGTTAAATTACGAAGGTAAATACACGGAGGCAATCCTTTCGTTCGATAACCGAGCGAAAAAGAGAAGAAGAAGAAGAAGAAGAAGAAGAAGAAGATCTGAGGGCAGATCCGAGGAAGGAAGAGAAACAGCGTCAACTCTTTGTTCAAACATTATGCGTATACACCACCGCGGGCTGTCATTTATTCAGAGGCGATTGCACGCCATTACGTTTCGCCAGTTGTTTGGTTATACCGTTTCGAATGTACCGAGGTGGTTTATTGCTAGAAAAAATAGAAGGTGGATCGTAAATGGAATAACAGGGTGCAGGGAATGAGAACAGAGTTTGCATTTGAAGATAATAAAACGTAGAAAACGATCGTTTAATGAGGAAACGTACGGGACTGGTTTTTTTTACGAGGAAATAACGTTCAAACTATCAAGCGTGGGCCAATTCAGACGCTTCTTTTTCTCTTTTCCTCGAATCTCGTTGATGATACACTTAATCCAAATTATCATTAAAGATAACTTAATTTGTACATTAATTAATACCCTTTTATTCACGTTATTCATTCTCTCTCTAATCGAATTCGATTCCATTCTCCCCCTTGCATATTCCCAAAGGAGGATTGGCAAAGCGAAGAAAAGCGAGCAGAGAGAATGGAAAGAATTCTTGATGTAAAATTCTCGTAGGATATATTTCGATCC